AAGGGAAGAGGACAAGTCTTACCCAAATCAATTTAAAACAATGAAACCATCCAAGAGATAATGTTCAGATGAAAGTATCTTGTTGGTGTTTTTTGTTTTTTGGGTTTTTTTTTAATTTGTTTGTTTGTTTGTTTCTTGGTGCATGGGATTGAACAGCAAAGTAGTTACAATTTGAGGTACTATATATTGCTTTTTTTCTCTCTTTTTAGTAAGCATGAGAATAACAAAGGTATACACTAAGCTTGTACAAAGGAATAACTGTAGAAATTTCACTGAAGAATGATTTAAACCTTGTCCTGACACATGAATCATGGGGAGGTGCTTTCTGTCAACATTCTTCACTCTTCCAAACCAGAAAAACCAGTATCTTTCTGGTTACTAAAGCTGCCACCAATTCTGGTAAATAGCACTCTAGCAGTGGAATTTTTTAAAAATCATACGAAATATTTACATATATCCAGACACACTCAGATAATAGTTTCATCACAAGTTTTTTTTTTTTTACTATTGTTATCATGAACTATGTAAATAACACTGTGAGCAAATAAATTCTACTGTTAATTCAAAGAAGGAGAAAATATTCAAAGAAGTGATTTTAACATCTGGACAATATCTTGGCATTCAGGTGATTGAAATAATATGTTTGTTTTAATTCAGTATTTAATCTTCACTTCCTAAAGTAACTACATAAAGACATATAACTTCTTTTAAATTCAAGTGATTTATATTGTCTTCTTTTGCATTTTGTGAAAATTGCTTTTTTCTTCAAAAATAAAGATGAATGTAAACACTCTATAAATTTTTCAATAACAGCTTTATTTCAGTGTAATCTTAAAACATTCTAAAAAGAATTAAATTAAGCCTCCTTCAGTGGACTTTACCCATTAAATAGGAGAAGAAGAATTTGAGGAAAATATGTTTAGATCATGCAGCCTAATAAGTTTTTATTTACTTACCTGGAAATTTTATTTAAAATATTTTGTATTTTCTTTGGTGGTTATACTTCTTTGAATAATTGCTTCCATGTTATATCTTATTTTACATTCATTGACATAATTTCACTACAAATTATTCCTCACACAGCTTTATAAAAACAATGTTAACTTTAAAAAGCAGTCTTCGTATATATAAATTATTATATTTCCATTAGTAACTTTTCCATTTCAATCATAGCTTCAGCAGCTTTCTTCATCTCAACTCGGCTACATGTTTATCAAAAACCTTGTTCAGTGCCTAAACTTATACAGTACATTTGCCTTAATTTTCCCATCCCTAAGGAAAGATGACATACATGATGATGACACCACACTGTTTCTCAGAGTCACGGAAATATTTTCCTTTTCTTAATCCATCATACTCATTTTCCCTGTTCTTCTTACACATTTTTTGAAAAATTCTGATGGCGTGGAATAGTACAGGAGGGAAGAACTCAGGAAAAGAAGGCAGATTTCTGGTACCTGCTGTAGCTTTATCAAAATTCTAGAATAGATAAAGTTCATTTTGGACACTTTCCTACATCTTATTTTTTATTTGCAATTGTCTCCAAATTGTGCTGTTTACCCATTCCTCCATTCTACCCCCACACGATATTTTACTGATTTATAGAGTACTTTCACTATAACATCTTTGCAGAGGTGGATGATGAGAAAGGCTAAACACAGAAGTTAATTTTAATGAGAATGACAATAGCCTGTCTAAAGTAATGTCCACTACAATTTGAATAACATATAGTATTTTTAGTGTTGCATTATTTGTAGTTTGAAATCTTGCACCATGGCAAATTATACATTTCTACTTTTCATAGGTTCTTTTCTCTACATTGTTCTCCACATCTGGTATTTAGGGTGGAAAAAATTCCTAGCCATCCAAATATTCTTCACCATGTCTATATGATGAATCAACATTTTTGTACAAAGGTGAATACCACTTCTGTGGAAAAAGTGAAATCTTAAGCTTGACATTCTGATGTATGACTTTGGGTATGGAAGTCAGGAATGCATAGTATGTGAGAAAATGCTGCTCTAAGATCCCCTTTTTAGTCTCTATTTCGTAGTCTTTACAGCTTACAAAAATAATGCGAAGAAAACCTTTCTTTTTCTCCTGTGATTCCAGAAATTTGATTATATCCATTAAGCAAGGTTTGAATTTCTTAAGTATCTCTAGGGAGCTTCATGTTTTTTTCTTTGACAATTCCCATAGTTATGAGTATGAAAAACTTCAGATACCAGAGAAGTTGCCAGAAGAATCTAATATGAACAGTACATAAAACAGTTCATTGGGTCAATAACATACGACATAAAAGAATACATGAGCTGCAATGATATTGTCCTACATTGCTCTACCTAATAAATAAAAATATACAGTAAGTATTCATATAACATATGTATTGTGAAAGCTATATACAAAATTTATATATAGAATTAAAATATATAATAACAAATGCACACAACATATGTACTTATACATTTATGTAAATTGTATAAATCCAGTGTACATAAATTAAATGTAGCTATTTCTGAGTCACAAACATCATGTTAACATTAGAAGTTTGGATATAAACTACTGAAAACCCTACAATATGTTCTATCTCCCAACTCCTCTTCCCAGCAAGGACCTTGCTGGAGCAGGGCACAGCCTGAAGAGCTGAGCCAGTGAGATTGCCAGCCCCTCAGACCTCAGTCTTGTGCTTTTCATCCATTACAAAGGTAAAGCGTAGGTTGGTGTATTATTGTATCTTGTTGACATATTATTTTTTGCTCAACTGTCATCTCTCTAAAACAGCAGATTTTTGCTATAATTATTCTGTTAGTATTAGTTTAACATGTTTTCGTATGATCAAAATATTTATCAAGGTTCTATGATACCAAGATAAAGAAGACATATCTTTAGAGAGCTCATAGTCTAGAGAATATCTTCTTTATATTAATCATGTATATAAAGCCATGTTTTATAACTGTGTTCAAGTTTATAAAGGATACTTATATGCACAGATATGTTGAAATACAAGATAATTACAATACATAGTTGTGTGCAATAATTTTAATTGAAAATCTAAGAACCAAATTTAAAACAAAAATGCTAGGGTAATGAAATGATAAAGTGCATCTTACAAATGAAAAAGAATTTTGAGCTTGTGAAGGAAAAACAACGAAGTGCATTTTTCTGACAATGATTGGTGAGTTTCCAAATATTTTGAGCCTAAGTTATTAAAGTTAAATAGTGAAACAATATATCTTCATAAGACCTTCTGTACTTTGACTTTACAACTAACTGTGTTATTGATCAAATGTGGTTTCCTTTTTCTAGGAAAAAAATGACCTTTAAAACTCTCACATAGCTTGCTAGTGATCAAATTGCTTGTGGAAAGTAATATTCTGATGAAAAAATTGAGACCAAATCATGACCACGTGGTTCACATTACCTCCCAATACATGGATTTTTAAAGAAGCTATAAGGGAAATTTCTAGCAAAATCCTCTTGATTTGGAATATTAAACAGATCTGAAAAAACAAAAAGAAAGGTGGTATCAGGAAATTTTAATATACAAACTCTGCAGAGTTTTAATTACTTTCTTATTTAAAAATATCTAGGATTATTCTAGAAAAATCTGGACAAGTCCTGGGATGGCATCCATAATAGAAATTCAGCTGTGTATGAAATTTTGAAATGTCCCCAAAGCAACCAATTGTACAATTTTATACATATATATCACCCTGAGTAATTTAAGATTTCTAATATGTGACCTGGAAAATCTCTTACTAGTCGCTGAAGGAGTATATAAGGAGCGTGTATTCATATGTGCATGAATATGTGTAAAACATCTTCTACCAACATGTTTTGGAAACAGGATATTAATATCTCAATAATGCATCCTTCCACCACTTTTGTGATATAACTATACTAATTTCATTTACATATGCTCTGCTATTCAATTTTTCCCTAATTTATATGTATAATAGCCTTTTCAAAAGGAATGTGTGCACACCTGAGGTTTTAGAAAAATACAAAGAGCGCATTCCCCTCCCATGCTAGGAACAGTGGCATTGTTGGTGAGTTTCTCTCAATTATCCTATGCTTTAATTCACCCATAACCTATATAGGAGCAATTCCAAAATTTCTAAAAAGACCAGCAAAAAGCTGCTTAGGGTGCAACATTGATACACAGTGCTCTGTGAGACTCAACTAAAACAAGATGCATCACCCTTCTCTCCTACAGTTCCTCGTAGGCAGGAGAATACTGTAAAGTTCTAGAGACTGACTAGAGGAAATGACTTAGAAAATAGACTCAAAGTAGACCGACATCCCAGTGGTGGGTAATCCTCAAACCCAATCATAGCCTGAGAGATCAAGTAATCAGATTATTCAACATATGAAGCCTCCTCACTCAAGTCCTTATAACCTCTGACTGTGTACTGCACTTTGGTATTTTATTCAAGGCTGATGCCAAACCTCAAGGAATTACACTTATTGTTTTATAATCGAACCTTTAACTGGGGCACAAGGGGGTTTAAAGTTTCCTTAGACCTTGTCTCTGTTATCCGTATGAACAAGCTGCCAACCTACCTGCACATGGTTTCTCACAGAGCCCTAAGTTTCTTACCGCTCATGATATATAGAGAGGCTTTGTGACCATGAGAAGTAGGAGGAACTGCTTGCCACACTTCAGTAAAGATTGTTCAAATTTTTCACTGGGGTGGATTTTTTTCTTTAGTTAAAAAATACAACCTTCTTGAATGATAATTATTAAATTTTTATAATGCCAGGAATTAGTCACTTTCTATTGCTCATGTCCTCATTATAATTTTTCCCCAGATTACTTAATATTCCTGACTTTACTAACAGTATTTTGGAATTTACAAAGCATCTGTAATGTGGTCTCTAATGTTTGACCACAAAACAGAGATTCCTTCCTTATTCTTGCATTGGCTCCATAAAAATGTCAACATCACAACTTTTTAGGTACAAGCAAAAGAAAGTATAACTTTGCTTCTCACCTGCAGATCTTGATCTATGTGAACTTTGACTTAAAATGAGCAGACCCCTAAAGAACTTATAAATTATAGTGGAGAAACTTGACAAGAGAATCCCCGAGCTTCACAGCAACCATCACAAAGGTGGAATCACCATAAGCGCCTGGTAGACAAGTCTCCCTTCCCAAATGCTATAAGGTATGCACACCCATGGCCAGGGAACTTATGGCCCTGTTCTTCCAACATCACCCTATACTGCATCTTTCTTTCATCATACTGACAACATACTGGCTAAAAATGGAAAAATACATCAGTTCAATGCTCTTTGATGAACTTGCCTAAACACTTCATAAGGCTGTTTGTCCCTTAAAAGAAATGACACAAAGAAAATCAAATTTACTGTTACTGTTTTGTTTATTGATTTGAATGGTGCTGTTGGTGATGAAGAATATGTTTAAACCATGGTGATTTTTAAGGGAATTTTGTCCCCACGGCCATTACAACATTCTGGGAGAACCAGAAGGAATCTGCTCCCTCACTGATGTTCTGAATTGTCTCATCAGCTCCTGGCATCCTGTATGTACTTCTGTACCAAACTGGATGGTTTCCAATTGTGCCACTTTTGCCCAGCCTAGATTCTTGGAATCTATTGACACTGTAGGATTACTATACTTTTCAGTTCACATAGAAGCAGCATTCAATCTGTCCAAATCACTCTTTATGCCCTGGGACAGGCCTTCTGGACCAAGTAGCCAGTCAGGCAAAATGGACAGTAGTTCCCCAGCTAAATGCTAACTTTTGTGCCCACTGTGCTTAGTTAATGCAGCTTCTGCCTCACAATTAAAGCCTTAACATGACAACCAAACTCAACTTATCCAGCAACAACAAAAGACATTAAAACAGACAAACAGAAGAAAAAACAGAAGTTGCCCATATTAATCTGCTGACCAAAAATACAGAAGCACTGCTGGAATTTGTTGGTAATTTTCCTCTGCTTTGATGAGAAAAAAGGAAATTAGTTACAATTAAATAGGAAAAACGTTGTGTACAGATTTTCAGGTCTTCATATGATTTTATTGTTTTTTGGAAACAGGAAATCTTAAAGCCAGTTCAGACTCAAATACCTGTGTGACATGACCTTCAACAGGTCAAGAGGTAGATATTAGAGGAGTCCCAGGAAAAATGAAACCCTCTACTCTACTGAAATAAAACTGTCCAGAAGAGACCTGTAGAAGTACTCTTAAAAAAATAAAAAATAAAAAGACCAATGGAACCAACATATATGTAAGTAAATTCTTAAATATAATAATCTTAATAAAGATACTCAACAATTATAAGGAGCAATTAGTACTCTAGCACACCACTGGCAGCATTCTTCTATAAGTCTAATTCCTGCATTAGTGACAGTGTGAAATGATGTATATATTTGGTTATGTGCTTATTTATCTCTCAATTTTTCTACTTGTCTCTGAATATTTACTTTGAATTGCAATAGTCAAAAGGTTAAAGGAGTCTAGACATATCTTGAATTTTATTTTAGTTTTCTTGGTAATATTTTTAATGTAAAATTAAAATTATAGCTGATCAAACCATAAAAATGGCCCTATTAATGCAGTCTCATGTGATATTTTGATACATTATGTATTATATGTTTTAAATTAAATTAGACATCTATTTCCTTAAAAATTATCATTTTTTAATGGTGAAAACCTTTAACATTCTTCCGTCTAGTGTTTTGAAACATTCAGTACACTGTTGTTATCTATATTCACCCTTTGGTGCACGCCAGAACTTCTCTCTTTTTTTTTTTTTTTTTTTTTTTTTTTGTCTTTTTCATTTTTATCAGTACCGGGGATTGTACTCACGACCGCCTGCTTACAAGGCAGGTGCTTATGCCGCTGAGCTAAATCTCTAGCCCCAACACCAGAACTTCTTAACCATATGAAAGTGTAACTTTGTATTTGTTAACCCACCTCACTTTATCCCTCCAATCAACACTAGTAATCCTGGTATTATTTTTTTAAGAGAACAGAGCCTTGCATGTTTTTTCGCTTGGTTATTATATAGACTTCCTTTGATTACAGAGAAATATTAATATTTTTCCCTGGTAAATCATAATTCCTTGATGGTTGAAAAGCCAGGTAACAATCATCTCCTGCCCTTTTCCATGGCCTGTGGGAATCCTCCTTTTCTCAATCAGAGCTTTAAAATGACAAAACTTCTCCATGTGACAGTCATAAGACATCAGGAAAATCATGAATCATCACGTATACAAGAACTGAAAGAAATTCTGACAAAATGTTAAGAGGATGTTTAACCTCTGTAGGGCCGCCTACCCTTGTCAACCCATGATTACATTAAACAAGTGGTGACCCTCAACTTCCTGGAAGAGAAACCAAAGAAAATAACTTAGAAAAAACATGAAAAGCATATAAACAATGGTCAATAGATGGATTCCAATTTAATCAGCCAGCCACACCTAAAAGACCACTCATTGGAAGTCAAATTCAGAACTTTTATTGCTAGTAAAAGTCTGGAAAGGTCAGACCCTCCTGGAAGATCAGAGAAGCAAGTAATTATCCATCAGAATTCACCTAGGCTTTACAGGTGCCAGGGCTATTTTTTAACTTAATGGAAAATTTTTGTCTTTAGTACTTTTTTTTTAGTTCTAAAGTAATTTCTAACCATGTGCACATTTTCACACTTCTCTCTTGAAACCCCTCAGAAAAACTACAATTTAAGATTGTTTTATATAGTATGACATCATGCAAAATAAACCAAAGCAGATTTTCTGAACATACTACACATGACAACAAATGCTAAGATATGGCTGGGTTCCATTGTGAGTTCTGCTTTAAACATTTAGTTAGGAAAGAAATTACATAATTTTAAAATCTAAATGTATTCATAAAAATCTAGAAATATGTTCACATAAAAAAAAACAATTACTGAAATTTGCAATGTTTTATTTCACCTTCAGTCTTTTTGAGTTTTCAAGTTTTTTTTGGCCACACTATATTCTGAACACAGGATATAAGACAGCCAGAGGCAACATTCCTAACCCACATAGTCACTTGTTTCGAGGTCTTGTGATGAGCAATAACGAAACTCATAGCATAAACAAACATGGCCCTCAGAATCATGGATTTTAATGATTTCACACAAATGAAACATTGCAAAATTGCATACGGATAGCTTAGTGAATAACAAAAGCATTCTTTCCATATGAAGTCCATGAAATGTTAATATCCTAGTTTCATTTTCTCCTGATGCTGGGGGAGGTTTGTGGGATAACAGAAATCCTGAGGCATAAAACGTTCAAGTGTGAAGTAGGAATATTGAGTCTTGTGAAGCCCCAGTCTCTCACTGGTTTTTTAACTGACACAGAAAACAGGAACTTTAAAAGTTAGACTTTTTTCCCATTGGAGACAAACGCGGCTTTCCTCAAGTGTAGGGCACAAACCACCACTTGTAACTCTCCTCTGCCAGGTGAAGGGAGCTTGAAGATGCTGGCATCAGGAAGTCAAAATCTAGTTTCATTTCCACGAGGAAGGTAAGGAAATGAGGTAGGGGTGGCAGGGACCCAGACAGGGATGAAACGAAGCTATACGTGTCTATGCCTATTGCATTTCCTTCCTACACTGTTCTGTTATAATACGGCCTAACATGGTGCAGTGGTGATTTGGGTGGTGAGGCCACTCATCCCTTTGCAGCTGGCTTTGAAAATATATTTTATTTGACCAGTGGTGAGCAAAGAATTTAAGCATGTGGAAATAAGTGACCAATAACAGTTTCCCCACTGTGGGCTTCAACTTTTTTCCTAAAACCAACTGCGAAAAGTCAATATCCAAGATTGTTATCTCTCTAGATTGGGAGCTGTATGATTCTTCCAGAACTTGAAGTGTGTAGGTGATAAACTGTCTTGCTAAAAGAAGTGAACATTTATTTTGCTTATTATGATGTTTGTGTAAATGTATTGACTTCTGTGCCGTGATTCTTATCGTTTCCAAACTGGAGTGATGCCCTCCAGGGTGATTCCCAGTTCTTTGTGAGGTGGCATCATTGATCAGTGGTCACAGTTTTATGAAGCTTTGCAGGAGTTTTTCAGGGTTGCCTTAGGTTTTCTTTGAAATGGAACTAGTAATGGAAATTTTACAGTCTAATTAGAAACAATAAGTTAATTTTTTCCCAGTTAGATATCCTTTGTCATTTATACATCTGAGTACTCAGTGACTGTGAAGGCAAATATTATTTCAATATCTTAGTTTATTTGTGTCACACTTCCAAGAGGTAGAGAACTGATAATGACTCATGAGTTTATATTATGACATTATGGCCTACATATTTCCTCAGTCTTTTAATATTCATCATTCTTTTTTAGTTTCAAGCTTCGTTTAAAGGAAGTGAACTTTGTTTCCTTTAATTTTTATCATCATATATAAGAAAAAAATGAGTGAAGAAACTCCATTAGATTCAAGGAAGGACAGAACAGTAAAATGAAAGAGGGAAAAATCAAATTCATCACAGTTAGAGTCAACCTCTTATACATATATTACACATAATTTCCATTTTTCAAAATTTATTCAAGTGACTAATTATCCTAGTCATGTTGCTCATGCTTATATAATCTTTGTAAATAAGAAATTAAAACTTTTATTTAAAAATGATGAGGTGGTTTCTAACCCCTTATTAACTTATTAACTTTTCAAAAATGCTATGAAAGAGACAGTAACATTTAAGGAAACATAAGCAGTGCTGGGCAGCAGCCAGCTCTTATCTGCTATAAAGACACTATTGTTAAATATTCAGAACTCCTGCAAGCCATTGTCAAACTATGGGTGGCTTAAAAAATAATCATATTACAATGTTTACAACACTAATACCTTCAAATGCTATGGAACAAAGCTTTTTCTTTCTTTCCTTTCTCCCTTAGAAAGCCATTTAGCAGCACACTACTAAATAAACACAAGAGAGAGATGACCACTAGGGACACTAGGGAAGTAATGCAGCAGATGAGAGTTATCTTCAAGAATGAGGATCAAGAAAGCAGATATTTGCATGGTAACTGAGGCAACCCACGAAAGAGAGGAAGGGAGACCTTCACAGGGTGATGGTATACCCTCACCCTGACACCATCGGAAAGCAATTATTACTCAATGAGGAAAACCTTGCAGTGGTTTATGAATTTGAGACCTCTATTACCTGTGGCACTGAAAACAGAAAGAAAGGCTGAAAATCTATTAAAAGAGAAATTATCCCCTCAGCTACTACTCTCCACTCCAGATCATCACTGCATTCATTCCCGAAAGAAGACCGCATGGTTTCACACAGGCTGTAACACTTGGTACACCCGCCATACTGAGAGTCATTCTGCTGTATTGTAATGAAAACAGGAGTGTTAGGTAAAAATTAACATACTAAGTGGAGACTCTCAGGCTTTCTTCTTCCATTCAATTATCAGTGTATTAGTAGCCAGGTTCATAATCTCCAGGCATGAGATTAGAGAGCTAAAGTCTGAGGAAACATTCCTAAGGGTGGAGGGTGGCTAGCGATAATAAGAGGTGATGATCTCCTGTAGGGGGTTAGTCCCTACCAAGATTACTCTGTGGAAAAGCCCATCAGCCAGTTATTATAGACAGCTAAGCTAGGTAGCAACAGCACAGGAGGAAAGGCAGTGTAAAGGGCAATTTGTATGATTTGACCCTCAACAGGGGATAAAATTTCAATTTTGATGGAGAATAGAAATATGGGGTGAAAAGAAGTACATCCAACACCAAATAAAAATATTTTCAAAATAAGTCTATTCTGGATTTTTTTAAACTATTACTAGTAAAGTTGCCCATAGTATGTTATCTACTACAGAAGTATCCTTTTCACATTTAATGAAAGATCACTCATTTTTTATTTAATTACAATATAGTTATAAAATATACATGTTAAGCGTTATTAGGAGTCAGTATATAAAAATGAATGAGAAAAAATATATCACAATGATTAAATTCAAAATAGGGGTGATTCTTGGTGTAGAAATAAATTGATGCAATTAGTGAAGAGTAGGACCTTTAAATAGTTGGATAAAATTTTATTTCCTAAGTAGTTACTCTTGTTAAGTCCACATTTTATATTGAACATAGAAGAAAAACCTTTTGTGAACACAGTCAGCAAAGTATGAGCTACTCAGTAGCTCTGATTTTGCCAAGTTCCGATGGCTCACAGGGAATAAAGTCAGTTTTAGCACATACAGGCTTTGTAGCTTCAGCTCTGCTATGGAAGGACTGTTACATCTGATGGCAATAGTAATTTTGCTACAATTTAAGAAATCTCCGTTCTGTACAGGACAGCTGGAACCACTGGAGAAAGGTCCTCATACTGGAAGCTAGAAGCACAGAAAGTAGTGTGAAAAGAAGTTTGAGTGAGTCTCTTTCTCCCTCTCCCCCATCCCCATCTTCTCTCGCCCCCTCCTCCCTCTTCTCCCTTCCCTCCTCCCCCTCCTGCTCTGTCTCTGTCTCTGTCTCTGTCTTTGTCTCTTTCTGTGTCTCTGTCTCTTTCTCACTCTCATGTTTCACTCTCTTACATTTAGATTTCCGGACAGATAAATACCCCAGGTGTTCACTATAACACATCATCTGTGGCAAATCAATCCAGGAGCTACAGGGGAGGAAATTAATTACCTTGAGTTCTGCATTTTTTTTTTTTTTTTTTTTTTTTTTTTTACTCCTGTGACAGGAATGATCTCTGAAAATGTCTAAGATACATTATCTAGTTTTATGATACAGTTTGGGCTTTTCTTCTTTCTTTCTTTTCCTTTAACCTTAGAGCCTACAATAGACTATTGTTTATTTTCTCATTCCTAAAGGAAATGATTAGAATCAAATCTGAGCTCCCCTGTATCTTATATGGATCATTAAATTTCTGCCTATTTTAAATCAACTGGTTAATCTAAACTCTTATACAAGAATTAACACAAACATTTTCTTTACAGTATTCCTTGAAAGCTGTGGAAACAAGTGTGGATGTAACAGAGTTGTTATATCCTGCACAGTAGCACAGTTTAAAGAACAAAGAGAGAGTAGTCATGGATAAGGTGAGTAACTGTCTTAATCTTTCTTGTCTGCAAAATGAGGACTTACATGTAATTATTTCTTTTAAATGTCTTAAGCTATATTGCTGGTGTTGACTTCAAGTTTTGTGGGTAAATGCCAGACCTTGTCAACCAGAGCTTCCAAATCTAGTGAGCAATTGTGTGACTAAATGTGTTAACACAAAAGCTTAACTATGCCAGAAATCCTCTTTTACTGGAAACTATACAGCCAGAAAATCTGTACTCAACATAAACTGAACAATTGACAATCTGTCATTTGTAGTACTAGATGAGGAGACATTGTTTCTTTTTCAAACCTGGAATCCCAGAAATGGCAAGTAAAATTGTGAAAGTACCACTTCATATTACTGCCCTGTAGGTAATTCTCTAAGTGAGTTATGTAATATTAAGCATATAATGTTGAACTACCAAGATAATTATGTGATTTAAAAAAAAATTTTGCTAATCAGAGTTTGGAAAAATTTCTCCTAATTTAGTAGATTACATTGTGCTAAAGAACTCCATGTTAACAATTACATTTCTTAAAATACAAAACTTGACTTAATAAAATTTTCCCTTCCCGTAGGTATTTTTGTGAGGAAAGTCATATTATTTTCATTCCTAAAAGGACTTCTTGCATGAGATTATCACCTGAGAGAACATTTATCGCCATGTATTCTGTTTTATTTTGCTTGGCTTTATTCTCTTTAAAATAAAGGTTACCCAAAAAAAGAACATTTATCAATTGTAAACAAGCATATTGTTAACCTGTTACAAAAGGGAAGTTAAAAGAGCACATAATTCTATACATAAGATGAATTATCACACTAACATTAGAGAAATGCCCAATGGTACAGGGCTAAGTGTCTCCCACTGAAGTTTCTGCTCCCAGTGGGAACTGTTATGCAAGCTGATTAAAAAGAGAACACTTTCAAATTAAAATTATGGAATGGACAGTTTTTTATTTTTAAATAACAAATTTCACATAATTCATATTTTATTTTTTAATTTTATTTTAACGAGACTAAAACAAAACAGAACAAAGCAGACCAGAAGAAAACAATGTAAGAAACACAGATTTCAAAGCAAGACAATAGGAAATCATCTCTGGCTATCATATTGTCTCTTGTCTTCTTCTAAATAGTTGTGCATATCTTCTCACACAATAAATTCATATAAAACAAAATAGTATTAAAGTGATCAGAAGAGAATGATGAAGGCATTACAGGCCTTCAAAACCAGACAATAGGAAAATCAACAATGGCTGCCATAATGTCTCTTGTTCTCTTCAAAATAGCTGTCCATACCTTCATGTATGTTGAAATTAAACAATACACAGCAGACTAAAATCATTCTGAACAAAGAATAATCTACAAAATCAGCACTGGATATGATAGTGTCTCTTTTTCGTCAAAGTAGGGGTTCATTTCATCACACATTATGTAATTGATTCTCAAACTGTTTAGGAGATGTTCTATGCATGTATAAAACCCTACATGTATTCCTATCATTTCTGTCTTAAAGGGAAAAACAAAACAAATTGCTAGAAAAGACAAATAAATAACAATAGCAAAGAGCCCAACACACTGACAATATAGGCCTTCAAAACACAGTAGTAGAAGCATAACTAGAGTTGTTATTTTACATAATGATCTTCTAGAGTTCCTCAGATCACCATACAATAATACACATAATTGTTCCAATCCTGTAAATGTTAACTTTTTGTTCCAACAAACTGCAGAATTTATAGCATAATCATCTTAGCTATCCTAAGTGTGTTTATATGTTTTTATACATTTTTTCTTTTTCCTCATTTCCCTGAGATACTATTTTCCCCCTTTAGGCATATTCTTATCCTTTTGCTTTATTTATTGAGTATTGTGTATCTTATGTACTCTTACTGTTTCTTACACTAGGGAGACTCTATAATATTTATACATGTGAGTTTGATTTATTTCACTTAAGAGTATGATCTCGAGTTGCATCCATTTACTTGTATTTCAGTGTGATCATTCTTTATAGCTGAGTAGTACTCTGTTGTATAAAAATACCACAGCTTTTTTATCCATTCCTCAGTTGATGGACACTTAGGTTACTTCCAAGATCTGGCTATTACAAATTGTGCTTCTATAAACATGGGTGCACATATATCACTGTGGTATGATGTTTTCAGTTCTTCTGGGAATATATCTAAAAGTGGGATAGCTGGGTCGAATGGGACTTCCAATTCCAGCTTTTTCATAAACCTCCAGACTGACCTCTGCAGTGGTTGTACCAGTCTACACTCCCACCAACAGTGCAAAAGAGTTCCCCACCCCCTCCACAGTCTCTCTCCAGCATTTGTTATTGGTAGTTTTCTTGATCCTGGCCATTCTTTCTGGAGGGAAATGAAATCTCAGTGTGGTTTTAATTTGCATTTCTCTAATGACAAACGATGGTGAACATTTTTCATGTATTTATTTGCCACTTGTATTCCTTCATCTGAGAACTGTGTATTCATCTCAGACACTCATTTTTGGATTGGATCTTTGAATTTTGGGGGTCTGATTTTTTTGTAATTCTATATGTTCTAGACAGAGGTCCTTTGTGTCAGGCACAGTTCAGTAAGATATTTTCCCAATTTGTGGGTTTTCTTTTGACTATGCTGGAAATTTCTTTCAACATGCAAAAACTCTTTAACAGGATATGATTCCAGTTATTGGTTCGGTGAGCCATTTCGTGTGCAGTTTGAATCTTGTTCATGAATTCTCTACCTATCCCTATGTCTTCGAGATTTCTACCTATTTTGTCTTCCAACAGATTTAGTATTTCTGTTTTAATATTTAGATCTTTGATCCATTTAGACTTTAGTTTACTACATGGTGATAGGCATGGGTCTAGTTTTAGTTTTTGGTATATGAAGGGCCAGTTTTTCCAACACCATTTATGAAAGGCAATATTTTTCTTCCAATGATCTTCAGGTATGTTTTTATTCCAGTACCATGCTGATTTTATTACAGTAGCTTTACAATATAACTTCAAGTCAGGAATTGTGATGCCCCTGCCTTGCCTTTGTTACTTAGAATTGCCTTTGCTATTCTAGGTCTCTTCTGGTTCCAGATGAATTTTAGGAATGATTTATCTAGATCTGTGAAGTATGTTAATGATATTTTCACTGGTGTCTTAGTTACTTTTTACTTGTTGCTAAGACAAAATACCTGAAGCCCAAGTTGGGAAAGGAAAGGTTTATTTCTTACAGTTTTTGGAGGTTTCAGTCTACATTCAGTTGGCTCCAAGGCAGGCAGGCATGGCTGGCCACAGTTCATGGCAGTGGCAAACAGCAAGCAGGAACCAGCAAAGAGCAAGACACACCTTCTTCCTGCCATTATATCACATCCTGGCTCCACCCCTTTGTGTGTGTGGAGCACTGACACCATCAATCCAAGCACTAGACAATGAACCAGTAACAAATGCACAATTCAAACTCGTGAGGCCAGGAGGACACAGACATAAACTATGACAACTGGGATTGCATTAAATCTGTATAACATTTTTAGGAGAATGGGCATTTTCACAATATTTGTTCTTCCTATGAACAAAGGATGTCTTTCTATTTTCTGAGGTCTTCTTCAATTTCTTTTTCAGGGTATTACAATTTTCCCTGAATAGATCTTTTACTTCATTTGTTAGATTAATTCCTAAATGTTTCATTTTTTGGATGCTATTGTAAAGGGTATGCCTTCTCCTATTTTTCTCTCAGTGATTTTGTTGTTAGTATATAGGAATGCTACTGATTTTTGAGTATTGACTTTGTATCCAGCTACATTATTGAATTTACTTAATATACATAGGAGTCTTTCAAAGGAGTTTTTGGGGTCTTCTATGTAGAGTATCATGTCATCTGTAAATAATGATAATTTAACTTCTTCTTTTCCTATCCTTATTCCTTTTATTTCTCTCTCTTGTCTAATTGCTCTGGCTAGTATTTCTAGCAGTATATTGAAGAGTGGTGATAATGGACATCCTTATCTTGTGCCTGATTTTAGGGTAAAGACTTTCAGTTTTCAGCCACTTAATATGATGCTGGCTGTTGGTTTGTCATACATGGCTTTTATCATATTGAGGTAAAGACTTCCAATTTTCTGTAAGGTTCTTATCATGAATAAGTGTTGGACCTTATCAAAAGCTTTTTCTGCATCTATAGGAAATGATCATGTGGTTTTTATTTTTTGCTCTATTGATATGATGGATTACATTTATTAATTTACATATGTTGAACTATCCCTGCATTGCTGGGATGAATCCCATTTGGTCATGGGGTATAATCTTCATGATGATATGCTGCATCCTGTTTGCCAATATTTTACTGAGAATTTTTGCATATATGTTCATTAGGGAGATTGGCCTATTGTTCTCTTTTTTGGTTGGTTCTTTCTCCTACCAACCAAAGATATTAGAGTAATTTTTATTAGAGTAATATTTCCTACCAGTAATAAGTTAGGGAGAATTGCTTCCCTTTGAATTTCCTTGAATATTTTGAGGAGTATTGGCATTAAATCTTCTTAGAATTTCTTGTAGAATTCCACAGTGAATCTGTCTGGACCTGGACTTTTTTTTTGTTGGTATGGATTTAATTACATTTTCAATTGGGTTAATTGAAATTGGATTATTCAGCAGTTTTACATCTTCTTGACCCAGCTTTGGTAATTCATATGTTTCTAGGGATGTGTCCATTTCTTCTGTGTTATTAAGCCTATGAGAGTAGAGGCTTTCAAAATAGGTATTGATGATTTTCTGTATTTCCAGAGGGTCTGTAGTGATTTAACCATTTTCATTCCTTATTGTATGAAGTTGAGTTTTTTTCTTTCCTTTTTAAAATTAGGTTGGCTAAGGGCTTATCAATTATATTGGTTCTTTCAAAGAATCAAAACTTTGATTCAATTCTTTGTATTGTTTTCTTAGTCTATTGCATTGATTTCTGCTCTGACCTTTATAATTTCCTCCTTTCTTTTGGCTTTGGGCTT